AGTCAAAAAACCCCCCCCGGGATCTTCCCCCTATTAACCCTCCACGCTGGAGTCTTACCCTCCAGCGGAGTCTTACCCTCCATGCGGAGTCTACCCCCACGGGGAGTTTTACCCTCCGGGAACACTAGTGGGAGGTTTTCCACAAGGTTCCCCACAATATTTCTCGCTGGGGGCTCCGGGTAACTAGATCCTGGGGGCTGCAGCACCTTGGAACCGGTTGACATCAGGTAAGCTCGCACCCCCCTCCCCACCCCTTTACCCCTCCCCTTCCTTTTTCCCCCCTTTCCCAAAATCCCCCTCCCCTCTTCCTTCCTCCTCCCTCTTTCCTCCCCTACTTTACTAAAGTACTATTTGTATACCCCTTTTTTAGTACTAGCACAAACTACTCATACTAAAAAAAGTACAGTACCACTCCCAAACCCACTATACCACTACTATTACTACTACTAGTAAACTACTAGTACAAATCTACTAGTCCACTACTACTATACTCTACTATACCACTACACTAGTGCCACTACTATACCCCTACTACTAGAACTATACTAGCATACTAGTACTACTACTATGCCACTATACAACTACTACTATCCACACTATACCACTATACAGTCCCACACTAGTACACATAGTAAACTACTACATGCAACTACTACCACTACTAGACCCCACTACTATGAAAACACTACTATCCCACACAGCCACTATACTAGTACTACTACAGACAAATAGACAACACTAGCCCACTACTAGTACCACTACTGTACCACACTACTAACTACTACTATACTACTCATCCAACTACTACAGTACAACTAGTCCACTAGTACCACTACTAGTAAAACACACTGTCAAAACAAAGTATATACTGTACCATACAGTCCCTACATACTACTAGTACTACATACAAATAGTACCAATCTAGTACCACTACAAATAGTACAATACTATACTATATACAACACTACTAGTACCACTACTATTAGTACCACACTAGTACTACTAGACTACTTATACCACTAAGTCCCCCTATACTATACAACTTACAACTACAATACTACTAACATAAACTACAACAACTACTAGTACCACTACTATACTAATAGTTCTACTATACAACTACTAGTAAACTAAAACTACTATAACTAGTACAACTAAAAATACTATCCCACTACTAGTACAACTATACACATACAACTTCTACACATACTCTATACCAACTACTTTACCACTATATACCACTACTAGTACCACTAACTAGTACTGCAGTAAAACTATACCACTACTAGTACCACTACTATACCACACTATTACACTAACCCTACAGTCCCACTACTATCCACTACATCCCACTACACTATACTACTCTAGTCCCAGTCCACTATACAACTACTACTAATACTACTAGTACTAGAATACTATATACTAGATACTAGTACCATACTAGTACCCACAAAACCCCACTACTACTATCCCACTCTAGTACCACTACTAGTACCATATACTAACCATACTAGTACCACTCTACTAACCACTACTATACCTTTTCCCTACTAAAAAATTTTCTTCCCATTCTTCCGCTTCTGTTTCTCCTCATCTTCCTTCTCTTCCTCTTCCTTTGTTTCCCTCATTTTTTTGGGGCCTCCATCTTCCTTCTGCTTCCCCCTCATCTTCCTCTGTTTTCTCTTTTCCCTCTGCTTCCCCCAATTTCCTTTTGCTTCCCTATTTCCCTTTTTCTTTTCACTTCCCTTCTGCTTCTCCTCATTTTTCCTTCTGTTTCCCCTCATTTTCCCTTCTGCTTCTCCTCATTTTCCCTTTCTGCTTTCCTCATCTTCCTTCTGCTTCTGGGGGAAAGGGAAGGGGGAAAGATGGAGGAATGGGTATGGGCAAAAGGTTGGAAAGGGGGAGGAGTAATGTGGAAAAATGGGGCAGGGTGATGGGGGGGGGGAAAAGTGAGGGGGAATACGATGGGTGGGGGAAAATTTATTAAGACGAGAAAGGTGTTTGGGAGGGGGAAAGGTGAGGGGGAAAATGAATTGTGAGGGGAGGTGGGGAGAGGGGAAGGGTGATGGGGATTAGCAAGGGGAGTGGAGATCGGGGGAACGGTGGATTGGTTGGGGGGTAAAAGGAAAGGGGGAGGGGGCGTGCGGGGGAAATGGGGGATGGGGCCGGCCCTGACAAATGACTCAATTAGGGTGGTTGTCTCCCCACCTGCACCCAGCACCATGGTTGTTCCCCCACCGCACCCACACCTGGTT